TTGTAGGTAGACGATGGTTCCATTTCATCCTGTTCTTATTTACATTTAGGCAGGTTGTGCTTGTGTGTGGTTGAGATGGTGTCATCTTTTTGCTCAGTGGCTTGCTGGTCATGATGTGATTACATTTTCTCATTAGGTATGGAAGGTAAAGGTGAGCTGAGCAGTGAGGAGGCACCTGAGATGATCAAAACCACAAGAAAAGTCTTCAGCAAAACCCAGGGATTCAGAAGAACAACTGTTGCTAAGCAAGAAGGTGTGGGAGACATGGAGGCAGGCTCGCTGGGGCAGCAGCCCCCACGGCAGCACAGCCTGGCCCTGGGACACAGTGGGAGGCGGCCACAGCACACCGAGCGGGTAAAGGAATTCCTTACAGCAGCTCAGCACCAAGGAAGACAGAATGTTCCTGTCTCCCTTGCGGATTCCAGTGAGCCAATGTCTTGTCCAGTCCCAGATGTTGAAACTGCCTTGGAAGGGAGCGTAGGAACTACCTCTGAGATGAAAAGTGGCCCCCACTCTGGTTGCTTGAGTGTACAGGAGCGACCTGCCTCTTCTGGAAAGGCCACAGGAAGCAAGGAGAAGGAGGACACCTCCAACAATGACAGTGATGGCCTGACTTTGAAGGAGCTTCAGAATCACCTTTGGAGAAAGCGAGAGCAAGAGCCACCTGAGCGGCCCCTGAAAGGCATCAAGAATCACCGGAGAAAGAAGCATCGGGAGGAGAATCCCACAGAAACTGTGCATGTCGAGGCAGGCACTACTGTCGAGAATGCTCTGCCCAGCAAGCAAGAGCCAGAGACTGTCCAGAGGGTTGTGTGCCAGGCAGTGACCGATGACCAAGAGAGTCAGCTGGAGAGGACAGCAGCTCAGCAATTTAAAGGTGAAGAGAGCAGGGACTTGGGCAAGCCTAAGCCTGAATGTGAGCTGCACGACCCCAACACCCTGGACCACAAGTGTCTCCAGCCTCGTAACAACAGGTGGGTCATGGGAGGACAGGGATGGGCTATCCCAGCTTTAAAAAAATCTGAGTGATGAAAATAGTGTTTATATTTGTTTTGATTTTAAATGTTACAAAGCTAGGCTGGATGAATAATTTGTTCATTCAAAAAAGATGAACACATCATTATCAAAAAAGGAACGAAAGGCCTGCCTAGAGCCACCCCTCCCCTGTGGTCGCCACCCGACATGTGACTGTTTACAGTCAAAGTGGTGAGCATGGGAGGAGGTGAGAAGCCCCTGCCTCCACCCAGCCATGTGCAGCCAGTGGCTGCCGAGTAGACCACACGTGGTCTCAGGAATCTGTCAGAGAGTGCTCCCCTAGACTGTTCCTTGGGAGAGAGCAGAGGGCCAGGTGCAGACTGGTTGATCCCCAGTGTGGACATGGGGGCAGCTCAGAGTCTTTGCTAGACTTTGGTGTTAAGGAATCTCTGTTGGCTTGTTGGTGGGACAAAGGCATCACTGCTGTTTTGAGGAGACGTTTACTGAAGTAGTTAGGGTCCAATGCCTCAAAAGCCTATAGTTCAGCCAAAAAAAGGATAAACAAACTTAGTTGAATGTTAGGAAAATCAAGAGAGGGACATAGGTGTTCTTTGTTCTATTCTCTGTACTTTTCTGTATATTTGCATTTTCTAAGCAATAGAATGTTAAAACCTATTGGGCTTCTTAATTTGCCAAAAAGTGAGTGTTTGTCTCTCACGTCCCATTCCTAATATCACTATTTTATGATTTCAGGTTTATGAGTGGCCGTGACCGATGTGAAGAACGGTTTTGTGGCGATTTTGGGGGTGCTTCTCAGGCTCGAGGAATGCTTTTGGAAAGGAACAGGGAAGATTATATCTGCCCAAAGTGCACCGTTCTGAAAGTGCAGGATGAGACTAAGGCAGAAACCACAGATCATCGGGAAACTAAATTTAGACCTGGAGATGCTGATGACACAGATTTTAGAAGTACAGGAACAGTGGAGCAAAAATCTAGTAAAGACCAAAAGATAAAGAGGAGAGTTGAGAAAGCTGCACATCCAAGCAGAAAGAAAAAACTCAAGCTTTGCCAGCCTGTGAGTATTTTGCCTACTCAGGTAAACATTAAGGGGTTGAACTTATGGGTTCCAGACTTGCCATTGGGAGAAATATCAAGGCTTGGAAAGTTTCTGTCTTGGAATAAGCTAATTTCTACCAGGACGGGTGCTGCATCTGGGGTGG